TGTGTATTTAAAGAAGATAAAGAAATCATGTGAATTTGTAATGTCGCAAGCGTGCAGAGCATCTTATCACAACTAATCTCTGCAGTCGGTATGTGTGCAGGTGATGCCTAAGCATGTTGACATGGTATTTATGTACGTACGCATACGTTGGCAGTGTCTTATGAGTAATTAACATTGTCGTGAACACGTTCATAAGTGGGCTACCGGCAATTGCCCACGGTCGGCGGTGAAATGGAAAATAAATAAATAAAGGGTGTTGCTGTGGGTGTTTATATGAAGATGAAGAAATAAACTCTCTTCATGTTCTGCGTTAAATAATTGTGTTTTTCTTGGCTGCTTTAAAAAAAAACTGAGAGCTCTCAGCGCGAAAGCGTAACTTCTCTCTCAAGATTGCCTCTCTCTTTCCCTCTATATCTCTCTCTCTTTCTTCTTCTCTCTTTCTCTCTTTCTCTCTCTCTTTCTCTCTTTCTCTCTTTCTCTCTCTCTTTCTCTCTCTATCTTTCTCTCTCTCTCTCTCTATCTTTCTCTCTCTCTCTCTTTCTTTCTCTCTACATGCATATTGCAGACTAATCGACCAAAGACGCACGCGTGAACTTCGTGTGGAGCCCGATATTCATACAGAGAACTATTGAGTAGAAAGCGGTTACTTGAGATTGCGTGCCATCATCACCTGCTACTTAGACATCAAGTATAAGCTTGATTACAACTTTAGTGGGGTAACGCTAGTTTGATCGGACTTAGAGCCGGCATGTGGTCTATCTTAAGGCTGCACGAGGCCAAAAGCATATATGCTCTGGCGCTTGGTTTCTAGGTCATCTCTGTCAAAATTCTTCGAGTTGAGTTGAGTTGATGCGGCTACTGGTCCTCAAAAGCACACTTAGGCCAAGATGCCGATTGTGATACTGCCGAGCCTCCTTCCTGCTCTCACCTTCTGAAATGATCGAACCATTTCGTTTGCCTAATAAAGGCAACGAGATTTCCAATATTCGCTGAGGCCAACGCCGCGAGATAGTCAAAAAAATGCTTCCCAAGAAATTTGTGTCGCGCGTGTGTCAAGGCTGGAGATTGGCAGAAGCAGTGCTCGATGGTATCCTCCTTCTCATCGCCCCTACAGCTGCGGCAAAAATTTTTAGAATAAAAGCCCATCCTAAGCCCAAGAAGCCCCATTAAACAGCGCCCAATTATTATACCAGTCGTTATGTTATCGGAGAACCGGTCTAGAAGGATAAGATGCTTAGATTTTTTTCGCATCCCACTTCGGCCATATCTGTCTGGTCACGTTATACGTGATCTCGTTCAAACATCTTGAGTCAGCTTCCTTGGTGAAGGTCAGTTTAAGCATGCACTTAGCCGTGGACTCAGATAAACCCGCTTGTGTGCGTATTTTATCGAAGGTACAGTTACCCACACTAAGGCAGTGCTGTACTTCGATGAGAGTTTGTTAGCAAGGTTCCTAAAATTTATGGCCACTTTGAGGTAGTACCGTAACATTAAAGAGATCTGAATGCAGCGTGATTGTCAGAGTAAATTGTAGCCGATTGTCCTGCTGCCGTCGATTTGCAAAACCAGTCCATGATTGCAAAGAGTTCTGCCTGGAAGACGCAGCAGTAGGCCGGTATTCTAATGCTCATGTTTAATGGGATCACGGGAGAATAAACTCCGCAACAAACCCACCCATCAAGCTTTGAGCCGTCTGTGAAGATGGCTATTGCTCATTTGTTGGGGGCGTTAGGATTTGCGTGGAGAAAAGATTATCGAAGCATACACTGAAGGTGGTGTAGTCCAGCTCCTTCGGCACTTCTGTAAGAAATAATACTTTTGTAAGACCTATACTACAAATCTTCCAAGGTGGAGCTGCATTCAATTTTATTGCCTGGCAACCCGCTTATGGTTTCCCGTATAGGTCCAGAGGAAGGAAGTTGTGAATAGTTAGTAGTGTTTTCGAGGAAGGGAGGGTGATGACAATGCTCCCGTTATCATGATGTACGCCGATCGTTGAACTCTCTTTAATTTGCACTCATCACTTTAAGGGATGTTATCGAGTGCTGACCACGAGACGGTGACCCCGAAGAATAGAATAGGATTATTATTATTATTATCCAGTGCGCGCTACTCGGTCTTAGATCTCACCTCTTTCCTATCACTGCTTTGAATGCGTAGAGTGCAGTTATGGCTTTCCTTGATCTCTCTGCCATGTTCCGGCTCCAGTTTAGTTTGCTTTAGGTTAAAAAAGAAATATTAACATATTTTAAATTGTTTTTTTAAGAAAAATTATCTAAAACTCGTAATGTAGAACCCTATATAAAACTGTCTATATATGAACGTAACTAAAAATTGCTACGTATATATATATTTACATATATATGATTTAGATGATGCTTGCATGGACTTAATTCAATAGCAAGTAGAAAAACAACAGACGTGAGTACATACAAACATACATACCTTTTTTGATAAGTACTTAAAGATATTACCATATAGGTATGTACGTAGGTATACGTACGTACTTATGTATGGATGCACATACATGTATGTATATATGTATGTATGTCGAAATCACGTCAAACCGCAGAATGTGAATGTCGCCGACAAAAAGTCTACGATGCTAAGCAGATAAATTGTGGGCAAAACAACAACAAAACAACAACAACCACAACAAAACATAGCTAAAGCAAATACGAAGGCAAAAGAAATCTGCGAATTGTTAAGTGATGTTAAAAGTTGCCAATTGAGTCAAAATGTTTACACCAACACTTTAAGTTGAGACAAAAGCGAAAGACAGACAGTAAATGAGTAAAGCGGCAGCGCAAAAAGATGAAAAAATATTTATGTACCTACGTGTATATACATAAATACATATGCATAGATATGTTTGTATATTTTGTTAATTGCTCAAAAAAGATACAAAACAATAAGTGCTGAAATACAAAAGTGAAAAAAAAAACAAATTAGAGAGAATGACAAAAACGAATTGCAGTCGCACAAGCAGTTGTCAAAATATAGAGATTTAAATACACAAATACATACATGCATATATAGAGTACAATATATACATTTGCGCTTATTTTCCTAATTATGACGACGATGCTGTGTTTCTCTGGCAGTCAAGGGGAAAAAACGAAACAGAATTAAAAAAAAAAAAAAAAAAATAAAATACAAAAAAGTGAGAAACAAAAACTTAAATAAAATTTTTGTCATTGAAGAGAGTCAAAACTTTTTGATTTTAATGGAAAAGTTCTAACCAAGAAATTATGCCATAAAGTTGTTTGAAAAATTATACAGATGCAATTAAAATTATTAAAAATTAATCTGAATAATTAAATTAATTAACAAGTTAGCTGACGAAGCAGATTTAACGCCGACTGATGTCAGTGGACACACTTAAGGCCAGCTGTCGCTGCCGTTTTGGTAGCTACTAGAGTGAGGTGGCACAGTTTATGGAATTTATATAGTCAATTGCTCGGGAGTTTGGTATGTCAAAGGTTCACTCGTGTGATGAGCTGCCAGAAGATTTACAGCAACAAGTACGCTCAATATGAGTTTGGTTATGCGGCGGCAATGCTTACTGCTTTTGGAAAATCGAATCATAAATAAGATATTTTGTCTTTGGTCCAGATCCCGAAGAGAAGAGTAGACTTCCTTTTAAGCTATGCAAAAACCACTTTTTAAAGTTCCAAAAAAAAAAAATTCGAATAGTTTAGCCTTTGATGCACTTGCCGAAGAGAACAATAGTTCTCCTTTTAGTCTAAGTAAAAATTTAACAGCAAATGGAACCAAAAGTACGATTTTTTCGTATAGGTCAGCCTCCCACAATTAGCTGCTTGCATAGGGCCAAACCTTTTCTTCAGTATTACTGATGACCTTAGCTTCCGCCCATTTTGCACTAATTGTGAAGGAGTCGCCACCTGACATCTGATAGAGTCTCCCTTTGTTCATTTGTGAATTGATTAGACTGATGTCTTGGAGGACTTGCAAAGCTTGTCGTGCCAAAGGTTTAATACGACACTACTTCCGTAATTTCGCCCATCGTGCTAACGCTCCATATATAATACACCATTTGGTGTAGTAGTTCCCATTTTGACACAATAGCTCTTAGCAGGTAGTCCAAATTGGGAGTGCTTTGCTGGCTCTGCTTTTGATAAGCTCCGTCCAGTTGTGTCTTTTTTGTTAACAAGGTCTGCTTTGAAGGGGGTAGATCTAAATCTAGACCTACGTCAAACATTTTTAGTAGACCTTCAGCCCAGTTGCTTAATGCTTTAAGTAAAGATAAATCTTGTTACAATGATATATATGGAGTTTCCTTATAATTTCTTGCAAGTCAGAGGAAATTTACTCACCTCACTTACTGACTTACGTGTCAACTGGCATATCATTAAAAAGTTTATTTTTTTCATGAACTTAAACACTACTTTGCACTACTATTTATATATGTTAGCAAAAAAAATCCCTTCCACTTTAATGTTTAAAAATTCTGATCTGAAAGCTAAATTAAAATACTTGAAAAAATTACTCATACGCACCGTGTACCTCAAAGAAAAAATAAATATATTGTAACAGAATACGTTTCTTTATATAAAAACAGAAGCTTATTTCTATACTCGTACATTTGAACATAATAAAAATATTAGAGTCTATTATGTAGCATTCACTTCCGAAAATTCAACATTAAGTTTCGAGCAATTTGTCAACCTTTATTTAGCTCCTTTAACTTTTTCCCCGAGCTCATCAAACAATACAAACAAGCAAAGATGTAGTCCTCAAAGCAAAGTAAAGAAAGTGAGACAGTCTCCTTTTCTGCTTTGTACTCATGCCATTTGTCAATGTTGCTCTACACATTGACTTGGACTTTGCCTTTCTTTTCTTTGTTTATTTTCTTGTTGTCAATGGCGTATGTATGTATTTGTACACGTATATGTGTTTTAAGGATTTTATTTCATTAAGTTTTTAATGGCAAGTATCTTTTCTTTATGCTCATCAAATATTTTCCCTTTCGCTTTTAGGTATGTACATCCACTTACACATATATGACGTCTTCAAGCTTCGTGTCTGTGAAATGATAAGATGACTTTTTGACTTAATTGTCGGAAGTTTGGTTTGTTAAAAAGTCACTCTATGCTTTGTTGAAAGGACTACAAATCGTAAGTATAAAAATGAAAAACTATGGGGAAAATTGTTTTAAGCTTAACATGCACACATATGTCCATATTTTGAAATAAAAATAAAAAAAGAATAAAATCAAAAAAAANCATACAAACATATATACACCTAGTAGGTATTTAGAGGAGCAATCAGGAGGTGGGCAGCAAAACAGCCAACACCTTACTTCATTTATTTGTAGATTTTTAAGTACTTGTTTGAGAGTATGTTTGTATGTGCATATGCAAATGTGGCAGTGATTACAGATATATACACATGTATATATTCCTTATGTGACGAATGAAGCCTAACGAATGCTTCACAATTAACACCATATTATGTCGACGGGGCAAAAAAAAAAGGAAGAAGTATGCAACAAGAAAAAAATAAATAAAAATAAAAACAAGGAAGATAAGAAATGAAAAGGAAAAGAATGCAGAAAGTAAAACTATAAAATAAAATAAAATAAATAAAAATAAAAGAAAAATAAAAGAACAAAAATTAAAATAAAAGAACAGAAATTAAAATAAAATAAAACTAACTAAAATAAAATCAGTTAATTAAAATGGAATAAAATGAAATGAAATAAAAAAATTTTAATATTAGAAACAAAAAAAATTTAAATTGAATTAACCGAAATTAAAAAGTTATTTAAAACTAGATGAAATAAAAAAAAATAAATTATTATAATTTCCGTAGCCTCTTATTTTACATATATATTTTACAGACATTTGTATGTTTGCAGCCATAATTTTTTAATAAAAAATTGATGGTAACTTTCTTTTGTTCAATAACCACGACACGTGTCAAAAGAACAAAAACAAGTCGAACCACAAAGTGTATGCTCTTGACAGCGATAAAGTGGGAGAGTGATACAGAGAGCGCGAGAGACAAAATGCGTCACATAACCCATTCACCTCGTGGCAGCGACCTTTACGGGGTGCCCCTACAGCCTTATAGCCTTACAAATAAACCCAATCAGGCGTTTGCCAACCTTTCAACCAAACAATTTAAAATGAAGAAAACAGAAAGAATTGAGAAAGAAAATAAATTATATAAAAATAAATTTGCTATTTCACCGTATGTTTTCATTCATTTGCTGACTTTCTTCTTCTCTTTCAGAACTCAACATGAAGGTATAAACCGCAAATGAAAAGTAAAGAAATTGCCAGCATAAATTTGAAAGGAATGAAATAAAAACTTTATACACAGAAAAGCCGTAGAAAAGGGTAAAAGAAGGGCATTAAAATGCAATTTAAATGTAAAAAGTTATCTAATTGCAGTTTTTGAAAAGTTTTGACTTTTACCTCTACTCTTTTCTGCCAATTTCGTTCTTCTCATGCAAAAAAAGGGTTGCAAAATTTTTATGTGTAAATAAAATAATCCACACCTATGTGTGTTAGTCTCTAAAAAAAAAAAAAAAAAAAAAAACAGCGCAATTCTCGCGTTTTTATTTCATTCTTATGCATTTCATCACTTTCCACTGATGTCATTCGAATCTCAATAAAAATCAGTGTCAGTTTTCTTCAAACTGATCAATTGTAAAATTATATTTAACTGTCGTTTGCAGCAGTAAGACAACAAAAACAACAATCTCAACAAGAAAGAACTTCCAAATGAAAATATACTCAACTTTTAACTCAATGCCGAAGTGACGTATTTCAGGTGCTTGTTGTTTTTGTTTTCCTCTTCACTTTTTTGCAGCATATAAAATGGCGAAATTAAATGTGAAGTGAACTTCGTAGTACAAAATTCTGTGGAGCTTAAAACGGAATTGGCATTTCGTAAGAGAGTTGGAGGAGTGTGTTGTTAATCTATTTGAGACTTGTGTCTGCCATTTATAAATTCTACTAGTAGAATTTTGCAGCGCGGAGCATTTTATGTAATATATTTATTTATATATTTATGTATGTATTATTCTGAAATGATTTTATTCAAAAATTCATGGTGGCACCTCGTTAGTGAGTCTTCACGGTCAATGGTGAGCACTGCTCTTAAGAATGAGCAACATCTATTATCCATCTCCCGGGAAGTTTTTCACATACTCTAGATCATGTTTTTCGTACCCATACATACTCCAGAGAACCACAGGGGCTATTAAGAAGAGGAATCTTGGCAAGAGTAAATGCTGCTTGCGATGCAGAAATATATTTAATCGAGGCAGGTGGCACACAAAAACTTATTACCACAGTCAGATTTGATTACTTGTTCACCCTGTGGGTTAGGGGTTCAAGAACTTACCCGCGGTAAGGCGTGCCTGTCGTAAGAAGCGACTTAAATCCAATAGTTTTCGCGACAATCGGGTCTTTTTATCGGAACGACCCAGATTTTTATCCGACCAAGGACTGTAACTTCCGGATTATTCCCCAAAAAGTACTTTGGGGAATAATTTTGCGGTTATAACAACAACAACAACATTACTTATTCACGAAAAACTCGGAACTCCATTGGTACTCTAATAACGAAATGTTGTCTGATGGAAACACATGGTAGAAAGCGGAGTTATTTTTCAAGGACTTAAATGACGAGAAGTCGGTTGATTATTACCTCTGACATTGCCCAGGTCTTGATATGATTTGATACTGCGGCCACGTAAGTTTTTTCTTCTAGCGGTAACAAACTATCGGTACACGTCAAGCCTAAGGCAGAGAACATTAAGACATTAAGTGTATTCATTTAAATTTTACTCAGAGCCGTAGTTTTATTAGCTGCTCTCATAACTCTTCTAATTGGACGTATGATCAGCCTTTGATGTTTCATTAGATCGCCGAGAGGTTGTCGTAAACTGCATAGTTGCCAATTTTCAGCGCAAACAATTATTTTAATTCGTTTTGAGAGAATGTTTTGCTTCTCTTCTTGCCTAATAAAATTTCCATTTCGAATACAAAAAAAAATACTCGAAGGGAATTATTACAAAGACATGTAAAGATGTTATGAGAAAAATTAACAAATCGTAAAAATTTTTACGGTCTCGCTCAAATGATTTTAAATCTCTATGAGATTCATTATTTAAAGCAATATGCAACAGAAATTCAATTTTACAACCACCAAGAGTTCGGTGTGTGCATTTGAAACGCCACGAGAAGTTCATACCAAATGACACAGGAAAACTGCTAACCAAAGCAAAGTGAATTACATTAGTTGGGAGTAAAAGTGTCGAAAAAGGAAACTTTAAACTTTCACTCACGCAATTGTATAAACTTATTGCTCAAAGTGCATACAAACCTATTGTATATATAAATATATATCTCATTTCGTATACATATATAGTCAGACGTACTTTGAAAGTTCAACGTTTCTTGTTCTTGCACCTACGCACATATGGAGGACGTTAGCATGAGCCACCATATTTCCTGTGAGAGTGTCAGTCACCGGGAAATTCGTAAAACTTTTCAGCTTAGACGATGTCATCAGCTTTACCTTACCAATCCGTTCCTCCTTATGTCATTGTATATATTTATATGTATGTAAGTATCTGCTTGAAGGTGAAGAGCAAATAACTTGCAAGTTCTACATCTTAAACTAATTGATTTACAAATGCTCTGGCAGTTAGTTGAGAGCTTTTGACTTAAGGTGAAAGGCAATAATGTTTAACAAAGAATGAATATTCTTACATACATACATGCATTAATGCATACATATTTTTCTTGTCAGAAGTTTGCTGAAAAAGGTTTGCTGCGGAAAAGGTGACAAGTTACATACCTAAATTTTTGGTCAAATCTTCAAAATATGACCATTTTGGAATTGGTGCTCAATTCGAAAGGGTCCCAGTTCAACATTTTTATCTTTTGTTTTGTTAATTTATTTTAGTATATTTTATTTTATTTTACTTTATTTAATAATATATATTTTAGTTCAATATTTTCATTACATATTATTTATTTATTTTATTCTATTTCATTTCTTCATAACAGTGAATATGCTTACAATTACTTTTTATTTAATATTTTTATTTATATTTGCTTTTATTTTTGATGATTTATGTCGTTATATGTATTTTATTTCATTTCCCGTAATAATTTTTTTCTTTTATACGGTTTTATTTAGTTTTATAATTTTATTTAAGTTTGTGTTATTTTGATCTATTGGGTTGCCCAAAAAGTAATTGCAGAAAAGAAAGTAAATGCATTTTTAATAAAACTTAGAATGAACTTTAATCAAATATATAATTGCCATTTTGTTCGATAACCTTTTGCCATCTTCCTGACAAATTTAGTATTTCACGCTCATAGAACTTCTGGCCTTTATCTGCAAAAAACTGAACCCNTGGAAGTGGATTGCCGAACATGATGGCGAATACATAATTGATTAATAAAAGCGCTATCTTCAAAAAATTTCAATTTCAGTTTGCACTTGAAATCGGGCACGAACTTATGCACTCATCCAATATCATTCTTTATTTATTTTTTTAATTATTCCGATTTTAGTTAATTTTTTTAATTTTGTATTATTTTAATTAATTAATTTTGGGTGCATAATTTTTTTTTATTTTAATCTGCTCAATTTAAATCAGGTTTATTGATTTTTATTTTATATTATTTTTTTTTGTATATTGTTTTTATTTTTGGGTTCATTTTATTTCAAATTTATTATATTTTATATTATTTTATTTATTTACTATGTTTTGCTTTATTTCCTTTTTTTAGTTTTTATTATTTTATTTTGGTTTGTTTTATTTTATGTTACTTTATTTATTTTTTGAATTATTCTGATTTGACATAATTTTTTTAATTTTGTATTATATTAATTTAATTAATTTTGGTGCATGATTTTTGTTTGTTTTAATCTACTCAATTTAAGTAAGCTTTATTTATTTTTATTTTATTTATTTTTGTATTCTGTTTATTATTCTTTAGTTTTGTTTCATTTTAGATGAATCTATTTAGTATATTAAAATAAATAAATTTTATCATGTATATATTACTATCTATATTTTATACTGAATTTTATTTTTATATTTTATTTGGTTTTTATTATTAGAGCTTCATTGTTTTTGTAGTCTCCTTTTTGCCCTTC